TGTAAAGAGTAAATAAAGGGGATTCATGCAAACGCACATAGCTGAATATACTGCATAAAAGTCAGGTAACATTACTGTCCATTGAAGTGGCAGCTAATCTTTTCCTGCTGGCTACTTTAAAACAACCATGCCAACACACCAGATGGGATGAAGAAGGTGTATCCTTGCTTAAGCTCCACTCTCTGGCATCCATCAGCTCGGTCTCCCAGGAAGATATCACTCTGCTTGCCTGATAGGACCCAGTCCTCATAAAGAGCAAGGTTATGAGGGGTTGGAGGCACAAGCCAAAAAACCTGAAGAGAAGCGGATATTTTTTTATTTAGAGGTCATACTGTTCCGTCGTGGCCAGGTGAGGTGAAATATCAACTCTGAAACCGTTGCAGGTTTTTAGAAATATAACATTTTCTTAATTTCTCCCCCCAACGTTCAGAGAAAGGAATACTAATAAATGAATATCAGATATGTTGTAAGAGACTAAACACGTACTTTCTGTCCCTTGAACACGTGATACCAAACAGAGGTTCCTCCGAAATCAATGTGGAAGTCCGTGTAGCAGCCCTTCACACTCATCAAACAATACCTACAGCAGGAAGAGAGATAATAATATCGTTTTAAAAAAATCACATTGTAGAAGTAGAAGAAGTTGATAGTGAGGATGTACAAGTATAACAGACTGCTGACATACAGCACAAAGCACAGATCAACCAATTAGAAGGCAGCAGCGATCTCAGGTGTGTTTTGTTGAAAACAACAGCTACCAATAGAAAACACCACTAGTGATTACTCACAAGATCACTACAGAGTTAGAGTTCACATTGGGACATATCTCCTTAGGAAATGAATTGAGGAATGATAACCACTCCAAGGCATAAATGATTCAGTCATTTAACGAGATGGGAGCATCACTATTTATCTGATAAAAATCTAACTAACGAGGTGTATAGAGAAAATAAACACAATAGGAAATCTATGTCATTCATCAGAGGTGATGTGACAGATTTCTTTCAGCCCGTCTCGTTAGCCCATTTTTTTTCCTTTTCCCAGCTCAATGAGCTGTCAGTCAAACACACAGAACAGGTAGCTGCCCAGAACTTATGAAAAAAAATTTTTGACCACTAATAGGAAAGAGTTTTCTAATTTAAAACATCTTTAATATCATCACTTCTAAGGCTATCTACTTTATAGTCTGCTGAGCTATAAATGAGGGCAACAAATGGCTTTGACTACAGCAATGACAAAAACCAAGCATGTTACACACTTTGAGGTCAGATACTGTCATTTTGTTTGCATCATAGAAAATGATGAAAAGACAAACAATAATTTAGGTCTAAAACTAACTATTATTTTTCATTGTCAATTAATCTGAAGAACAATTTCCCAAAGCCCAAAATTGACATCTTCAATTTCTTCTTTGGTCCAACCAACAGCCCAAAACCCAAAGATATTCTGTTTTCAACCATATAAGACAAAGAAAAAGCAGCAAATCCTCTCACTTGAGAAGCTGTGACAACAGAATGTTGGTTATTTTTGCTTAAAAAATAATGACTGATTGATTGTCAAACTATTTGCAACTTAATTTACTTTCAGTAAAATTATCAATTATCTCTACCACCAACACTCACCTAACCATGATTCAAGCAAATATAATTAAAATTAATATTAATACAACTCAGGAGAGGGACAGAGGGGTAGAAATTGGGGATAGTGTGATGGGAAAAAATATGAGCAACTGAGGTTAAAAGGAAAGGCACTATTGGTTTTGCCTCTCAGCTACAGTATTGGTACAAATGCTGGCAGCTGATTGGCTGAGAGGTGTCAGTGCAGGTCCACTACAGCTGTTATAAAACCATCCTCCACTGTGGAAAACTCTGCTGCCTAGCAACAATATCAAGAGCAGGTACAGAAGATGGATAACAGTGTGAAGCGCTCTGCAGTGATGGAGTGATACGCGAGACATTCAGATGGGAGGAGAAATTGTATTTGCTGCCAAGGAAGCAGCAATTTTTTCCAGGTATTTCCTATATCTTGCTCTACATGCTTCATTTTCGCAACAGTTCAAAGGAGATTTTTGTGAAAACAGAAAGACAATCCAGTAAGGTCATACCTTTGCACTTTAGGGTACTTCATCTCTGAGATTACATTGGTGGCTTCTGTTTGGCTGTGTTTCAGATCAGGAGGCCACATGTTGTCCACCCAGTCAACTTGATCCACCTGTGAGGGTGACCAAAACTGCACTTTTAGACATCAGTCACAGCGTTGTTGGTCATACTTTCTTTGAATGTGGTACCAGATTTGTGACCTTTATGAATCCCTTCATAACCTCAAACAGAAAGGGGGCATGTGATATTATTACCACTGTGGGCCGCTTGATGAGGTTCTCCAGCTTAGTGTGGCTGAACTCTAAGCTGATGACATTGAAGAGTTTATCCCGCTCTTCCTCTGGTGTCTCATAATAACGGACAAACTGAGCCATGCTCATTTCAGAGCCCTTCTGAGTGCTCACGTCCATAACATCCACAGACCGTCGACTGCCTGCAGGCAACAACCAGGACACAAGTTTAAATTTATCTATGAGCACTTCCACTGTCTAACTTGTAATACAATCTGTCTGTAAGCTTGTCTAAAAATCAGCTTACACTTGAATGTTATTGTGTGATTTATAGTGTATTGTTGACATCTGACAGATTTTATTATGAAAGTAGCTCAGAGCTAATGCATGTAATTCATCATCTTCTGCACTAGAGGGAGCAACTACACCCCAGTCGTGTTCTGACTTTATTTATTTCATGCTGCACTTGATACAGTTGTATTTAAATTGGAAAACTGTCTGTTCATATGTTTTTTACATTGCAATTATGGATAAAACATACAGATAGAACATTATTAGTTTTAAAAGGAGTACACAAAATAGCCCACAATACTTCGTTGTCTGCTATGTGCAATATTTATTAAAGTATCTTGTTTTAACTTTTAAAACTTTTAAAATTTTATTCTGATGTGCAAAAAAAGAGGTTCTTTACAGTTTCTGACATAACTGAACAATTTAGCTGCTAGTACACATTTTTGAACTCACTATCCCAACCACACTACAGGATCTGGCATAGTTGGGGTAGTTTGAAAAGGTTTGATGGATGAGGCAGCTACAATCAGCGGAAATACTCCAGCCTCTCACAACTTTTTTATGGCAGAGATTTGTCATGACTATGACAAATTGTTTAGAACTACCCAAAAGCTGAAACTCACTGACCTCCCTCATTTCCACTCCACCAGCTCTTATTCTTTAAATTAGCTTAAGTGTATGTGCGTGTGTAGCATCATACTTACCAACCAGGCCTTTAATTTCACTGACTGTAAATTCTGGATCAGGCATTCTATCCAAATTTAAAGAGAGGGGTGGATGTCACTCAGTTGTCCTATTACATGTGTTGCCAAATGGTTAAACATAAATATATAACAAAAATTTTAAGTGGGTTCAGTCACCACCAAGAGCACTGTCAAAGATTATTCTTAAAGTGGTAAATTCACAGAAATGGCTTCTCACCTGATCCCTAGTCCATCTTTCTCTTTAAAAATGAGTGGGATCCTGAGAGCCTCCCTTTGCACATATTCATAAGAAAAGTCTGCAACACAGTGAGTGTGTGTTATGGACAACTGTCATTTATGGGGAAGACATGAATCTTGCAAATCTTACAAATGATAATATATACAATCAAAATTATATATGATGTTCTATGTGTTACTTTACCTTTACCCTCCATCAACTGGACATACTGTGCGCTGTAACTGCCACTGACAAGCTTTTCCTCCACACTGAAACCTCTTATGTTTGCAATTTCTTCCACATCAGACAAATCCTCGTTTTCGTCGTACATCATCCGGCAGATGGAGCGCTGCCATTGAAAACGACATGATTTACATCACAAAACTGCAACACGCGTGGAAAGGAAACTCTTTCTGTCATAACGACCCCCTCACTCACCATTAACATCCAGTAAGCCTGATGTAAAATGATGATGTAACATTAATTTTATTACTAACTTTTGAAACTGGATTGAGGGATCATATTCAGTTTTTGACAGTACGTCAGTAGCATCATATTATCTTAAATGGGACGTCAAGCACAATACCCATTAACGTTAAACACTTGTCCGGGGAAAAAGCAGCTTATGGTACGTTCTTCCATATCGATAAATGTAAACTGTTTGCAGGATTTCACTGATCTAACATGTTGGTTTCGCTTGTTTTAACTACTGTACGCTCGGTGAACTGTTACAAATACAATGCAAGTTATAAAACACTTCGTTTTTCCTCATAGCCTCTATACTGAACAGCTTAAGTGACTTGACGAATATCGCAACGTTTACAGTTGCAAGCGTTAGCTTAGCTAACTAATTAGCTCGCTGCCAATCTCGCCTCATAAGCTAACGTTAACACGGCCGATGGTACACACCAGCCTGCGTCCAGATTCAGCACACGTTTCCACGGCCTGGGCCATCGTCTCTTATGAATGTTTTCCAGGCATTCAGCTTCGGAATGGCATCTTCGTGCGTAGTGAAGTTAAAGAAACACTTAGCACGCGTTTCGGGTTCAAAACAAGGGAACCATGTTTTTGTGTGTTACGTCATCGCCAGGAACCAAAACATAGTTGGCCAACGTCACGGCGTGTTAGTTCACTGCTTTTCAACTGCCTCCACAAAGAAGACCATGAACCCCATCACACCAATCACTGTTTGTTTGTGGTCGAAAGGGGGGGAAATAAACATTACATTTTAAACACTATTATCGGATAATTCATCGAACCGTGTTAAATAAAATAAGGGTTAAAATAGCTTTTCTAATGTTATATCAAAAAGCACCTTTGAATCCACTTCATTCATTCTAATGGTAATAATACCAGTTTCTATACACTTGACGCTACGTGTCAGTCACGTGGACTGGCGTAACGCTGCGTTCAGCCGTTGAAGTAGGCAAAAACATGTTTTTCTTTGACACACTTATCATTAAATGTGGCAGTCACATTAGTCTTACTAAAGGCTGCTCGGTAACCTTAACTGAGCAAATGCAAACGAGTTTTAGCGGATGTTCCCCTCTGAGCGCGCTGACTTATGGGTAATGTAAAGTGCAGGCGGCATAACACGCCGAAAAAATAGCTTGTGTAGTTCCGTCAGCTGGCGAGGTTAAATGTGTTGTAAGTGTACGCTGTTAGCATGTCCATCGCTTGTTTCTGTCCGTTTAAGTAACAAGGTAGCTCGTCTACTCCTTTGATAACAGACATGAGTCTGAACGAGCATTCACTGCAAGCACTGTCCTGGAGGAAGCTGTACCTGAGTCGAGCTAAACTGAAGGCTTCCAGTCGGACATCCGCTCTGCTCTCTGGATTTGCAATGGTAACACTGTCTTCAAGCTACCTTCTTACTTCTTTTGTAGCTGAATCAGTCACGTTACTCGGTACTGACATGTGTCTAAAGTTGTTTCCTGTTCTCTTCCTGTTCCGTCTTTCACAGGTGGCTATGGTAGAAGTGCAGCTGGACAACAGCTATCCTTACCCACCTGCTCTCCTTATTGCCTTCAGTGCCTGCACCACTGTCCTTGTGGCTGTTCACCTGTTCGCTCTGATGGTCAGCACCTGCATTTTGCCCAACATAGAGGCTGTCAGCAACGTTCACAACCTCAACTCTGTGAATGAGTCGCCACATGAGCGAATGCACCGACACATTGAATTAGCGTGGGCTTTTTCTACAGTTATTGGGACTTTGCTCTTCCTGGCTGAGGTGGTTCTACTCTGCTGGGTCAAATTTCTGCCTATTAAGCCCAACAAATCCAGTAATAACACAATTTCAGCGGGCGTGGCGGCTGCTATTACCTCCACCTCTATCATGGTCCCCTTTGGTTTGGTCTTCATAGTCTTTGCTGTGCATTTCTACCGCTCCTTGGTCAGCCACAAGACTGACAGACAGTTTCAGGAGCTGGAGGAGCTATCTAATCTCACCAGGCTACAAAATGAGCTGGACAACAGAGGGGAATCATCCATCTTGCAGTCTCCTAGCTCACATTTCCCATAGACGTATGGTGGATATGCATCTATGGTGGAACTCTGATTCCTTGGGATCTCTCCAAGCCACATTATTGGCTTATAATTTTTTTTTTTTACAGGAATGAAGATATCTCACCTATTTGTTGTGAAATGTACTTTTGTGAACATAATTTTTATTTTTTAGAAAACAGGTTTGATCAACTGTGAACTCAAATCTCCCATAGTGCATGTAACTTGAAATTCTACTGTCTGCTGTGATAGTTGCTTGATTTATCTCTTACATTATGGCAGAGACATCTGAACGATAACTTGGAATCCTGTCTGTTGCCTGCTGCGTTAATTTAATCATTTATCAGTGAACAATGCCTTTGTTAATATATATTACTTTTTGTGTTTTGTAAACCACAGGTATTTTACCCTACTTATTCACCGTGCACATGATTTCTTTTTTAATGTTCACAATTTGCATTTGTAATGCCTGCTGTTTGTGTAGACTGACTCAACAGCTGCCAATTACTGTAGCACAGGCTGTGGTGTTAAAATAAACCTTTTTACCAAGTGGCAATCAGTTTCAGCGTTTCAAAAAACATTTGGATGTACTATTTGAAAACCTTTCGAAAGTTATGTTATGCAACTTACTTGAAATAATTGACACAGGTTAGTCACCTAGAAAATTTAGCAAATGCATTATTTGAAGCTAATGAGTAGAAGTAGTATTAATACATCTGTTTTCGCCAATCATCCTTATGCTGGATAACCAACTGAGACAATGCTGTCTGATGGTGTATTGTCCTCTTGATGCTTTTTAAAGAATTCTGACTAATTACACATACTGCATAATCACTTTTTGACCACTGTAGAGTACTTGTTAATATTAGACACTTATGTTCCCTCTGTGCTTCAATTTGTAAAGTCTGAGCACTTCACTTGTCTCATGTCCTGAATTAACATGTGTTGCTTTTCAATCTAAAGTGTTTATTCAAATTTAATTTAACTGGTGTTATATTGTCAACAATTTAGAGAAACTGATCCGAAACCGATCTTAGCAGTCTGTGTTTCAGGAGGTAAAAGTCCAGATGTGGTTGGAAATGCATTCAGAATGGAAACAATTAAGGTAGTGGGTTGTTGGTGGCTGTTGTATTTCCATCATAACTAGAAGTTGGGGTGGGGTGGTGATGGAAGGAGAGCCTCTTCTTTGAGGCTGGTTGTTGCAGCTAGAATTTTTCTGAATGATTAGCAAGCATCAGAGCTTTCTTATTGAATAAGATTGTACGCATATTGTTAGAATGCAGCATATAGAAAATAAAGTAAATCCTAATATTTGATCAGACCCCATAAAAAGAATAACCTGGATGTGTGATTTGGGTATTCTATGTATACTAGTACTGAATTTATCACATGAGCAGCTGTGATAGCCTTTGATTGTTTACATTTACAGCATCATGTAGGTCTAATGAAGTGAGTTTAGTTATTAGGCATATCATTATGTATTTTTCTACATGTATGCAGTTTGATGATCTTTTAGGAACCCTAGAATTGAACTGTAATATAATGTTATAGTCAGATATAGCAGCAAGCATTTTATTATCATCACAGTTAGTGTTTAAACACGTGTTGGTAGTAAACTGGATTAACATGTTAAATTATATCACTATTGTTTTCTACTCAAAAATGTTTTTCATTTGCTCCACAGACAAGAACAAATTATTTGGGTGTAAATATTTTGACAACACTGCACATGTTGAAGTCTTAATGCCATTTATTTATGCCATTTATTTTCTTTTTTTAATTCTTTGTGAGTGCGTGGTCAAGTCGACACAAGCTGTAGATCCTCTTGTTGTTGTTCTTCAACACTGATCACTGTAGGGTGACTGGGCTTCCCTTAAAACCAACTGCATATCCACCAGGTGTAGCTTGAAAATAAAAGATATGTTCATATTTTTATCTGTAATAATGCCTTTGAAAAAATGCTTTGTTATCCATTATTATTTGATTGTGTCAAATATGTGGTGACAGACAGTGTAGACTCAGATATGTGTCTGTAAAACTCCACTGTCAAAATGCTGTACCTGTGGAATTGGATACTTTGTTGGTGTAGGTGCGTCATCCCTCCCAAAATCAGACAGGGTCCCACATTTTGCTATTCCATCCACCCAAAAGCCTTCATAAAGCTGGCCTTTGCCAGTGTAGTAGAACTTTCCATTACCGTTCTTCTTGCCATCTCGCCAGTTGCCTTCATACCAATTTCCATTTGCTTGGGCAGTTGGAAAGTCATTTTTTTAAAATTAACCATCTTGACTACATAATCTTTTTAGATTTTTTATAAATGTACATAAAGCAAAGTGCTCTTACCAGATCGAATGATGCCCTGTCCATGATTCTTATCCTTCATCCACTCTCCCTCATAGATATCGCCGTTCTCATAGTACATCCTTCCCCAGCCACTCCGATGGTCCTCACTCCACTCCCCCTCATAAACTGCTGAGTTATTGTAGAGGTAGGTCCCATACCCCTAAAGAAATAGATAAGAATGCTAAATATATCAGAGAATTATAACAAAACGCGCTACTGTTTGCATTTACAACAGTATATCAGTTACATACATGCTTCTTTCCATTTTTCCATCCACCACTGTACTTCCTTGCATACTCCTTTGCCTCTGGGAGTAGCACACTGTAGGTACCATATCCATCACGTTTTCCAAATTTCCAGTCTCCATTATAAATAGCACCAGACTTCTTCCAAACCTGAGTTCCCTTCCCTTGAAAAAAATAATGAGCAAATATTTTAGCTAAAGTGTGTTACGCTTTCTTAACCAGGCATTCACAAATTGCTCAGCAGTTTAGTGGAAGCTCACACTAAATAGTGTCTCACCATGCTTTTTGTTGTCCTGCCACTCTCCAGTGTATTCATTACCATTGACAGAGATGACTGTGTGCCGCAGTCCACATTTCTGTGACTTTCTATCCAACAATCTTGAGGATGGCTGATTTTTTTTGGATTTCTTAATGTATGGCATGGCTGGGGGTCGCTTGATGAAAAACATTTGACATAAATAACATGTTACACCCATGAAGCTGTTCAGGTTAGCCTATTTTTCTCCTTATATTAATCTCATTGTAAAATGAACACAAAAAACACCTTATATAGTTCAAGGAATGTGTGCACACATGAGAAAAGTTTTACTAAACACATCACATAACCTATTCTTCATGCGTAAATGTCATTAGAATATATTTTAATTATTTTTAAAAAGTCTTGAAATACAAGAAATATGATTCATGCACATGAACCACATTTAGGTTACATTATGTTTAAATTATCAAGTTAGCTTACAAGGCCATAACGCTAGCTGACCTTAAGGTTAACGCTACTGTTAGTGTAATTTAATTTTAACTAAATTAGGATGTAAAACATTCATTCAAAGGAAAGTACTTGTAACGTTACCTTGGCGAGGTGTCCAAGCATATAACTTACTTAAAGTCAACACGCTTGTAAACTCAGGCCATGTAGCAACTGGATAAATTAAGAAAACATGTTAGACAGCTCGCTAGCAGCAAAACTTTTGTAGCTGGTGTCCGCAACAACATTCGTTGTATCCTAGCAACAGTTCAACAGTGTACTGTAGTTGGTAAAGTGCAAATAAATTAAAAGTTCATTTTAAATTAGAGTAAAAACTGTATTTGAAGACTCTGCTGATGCCCAAGTAGTTTTTATTTATTTGTTATATTATTATTTTTTTTTTTACTCGTGTCTTCTCTTTCAACCATGAGTCCTCCTGACAGACAGTGTTACGATGTGCGCATGCTCCTGGCAGCCCAGTTTTAAAAAGCGGCCTGAGTGGATAGCCACAGTGTGAGGAGAGACTCGGGGTGGATCCTGGTGAAGAACCGTCCTTTTCTCTATATCAGCTTACTGTACCACAATGTCCAAACCGAAGTTTCAGACGGAGTGGGAGGAAATCGACGGGGAATATCAACAATTACAGGTGACAGAAAACACAAAAAGGAGTTCATGATCTATAGTAGATTGGTGGCTTTAGCTTTAGATGGCACTGACAGCCGATACTCTAGTGGCTACGTTAGTTTGGATGGCTCCTTCCTATTCGTCATTCATTCTCAGCCCAGCCGTAGACGCAGCATTGAGCCAATAACGGCGCTCTTGGTAGCAATATGTGTGTGTGTGTGTGTGTGTGTGTGTGTGTAACATGAAGTATGTTTCACTGGACGTTTATCATCTTTGTCTTTACTCTTACATCCGTGTGTTGCACCCGCTAACGTTAGCAGCGGGATGCTTATCTTGCTGCTAGTGTGTTGCGGCTAATGAGCAGCTACAGTAACTTAACCTAGCTAACCACACGGTGTACTATTGTGCAACTGATTCATGTGAAATGGTTGTTGCCAAAGTTACTTATAGGTCTTAAAGGTAACCTCACTTGTTTGTCGCTGCTGCTTTGCCTATGTAAATGATTTCGCGAATGCATCATCATCAGTCATTAATGCATCGGTAACGTTAACTCACAGCGACGCTAGCTTACGTTCATTAGCTGGCTATATTATTATCATCTAAAAGTATAAGTCACGTTAGTCGATGATGAAAGCATACCGCTCACTTTGAGGTGTTAAATAGCATCATGTGGTGTTGTGGCACGACCATCCCCCAGTCCTCGTGCCAGTAGCAGACAACTCAGACCTGTGATGCCATCAAAATTTAAAATCTGGAGCTGCTCCGTGGGGAAAGATGAAGGTGACTGTCAAATGTTTGGGGATTTTCTTAAATGAAGCTTGCATGTGCTGCGGAATAACTAATGTCAAATATTGCAGCTGCACTGTCTCCCATTCACAGCTTGTCAGGTTCAAGGTCCTAAATCTGGAGTCTGTGGGTTTGAAGAGACTTGGTACACACTGTTTATTTACCTGTCCATTTAATCGGCCACATGCATGTCAACATTAGTGATATGAGAACACTGCCATGTGATGTACACATAGAGAGAAGACACAATAAGTAGTGTGATTAGCTGTGTGTTTGCTTTTCCCCTCTCAAAGGTCAGGACATCTTACTGCTTTTCAAAAGTTTGCTAATCTTAAAGCATGAATTGCACAAGGACACGACAAGACAAGCGGTACATCATGTATAGAGTTCATAGCCAATTAAAATTCAATAGGTACTATCCAAGATGTTGTACTTTGAGTACATTTAAACAGCACTCCCCAAAAGTGTAACAAGGTTACAGTAGCTGACAAAACACCTGTGATCAGGCCACTTCTTGAAACTTTTAATTGTGGAAGTCTTAACAAGGAATTACTTTAATTATTATTATTTATATTTTTTTGGTCTTGGGTCCTTGACAGTCCCACACTACATGATCCTGTAGATTCTAGATAAGTGAATACAAAATGTGAGAAGTAATGTGATGGTCTAACCTCAGGCTGCGGGAGTGGGGACGTGCCTCTGAAAGCTGTAGTCTGGTCTACCAGTATAAATGCATGTAAACTTGAACATATTTTACCACATAATACAGTGTCATGGGCTGTTTGTGTTTCACAGGGTGAGCTATAGACGGGTTTCT